CGGCCGCTGCGAGCGCGCGCGATCTAGCGCGGCCGCCGGGATGCACCAGACAACGCCAATCACTCATCGCAGTCGTCGCCGCGTGGGTTTTGCAAACCATGTTGCGGGGTGAGTGGGCGGGGCGTTTGCAAGGGCGTGGAAGCAGTCATCTCTCTTGCAGAAAGAAAGCGAATCACAGCGTAGATAGCGCCACGCAGACAGCGCAACAAGCATTGCAATATATGCGTTTGTCCGCGAAGATTGCGCAGCGTAGATTGCGCATCGCGCGGTCTCCGCTCTGAAAGAATACTAGATCCCACCCCTCTCCCGAGGCCGGAGTTAACGGCCCGCCCTCGCGACATCTACTTCCTACATGATTATCCTTTCCCACTTTGCACATGCGCGCGAGTCAATGTCGCCCCGGCCCGGCCGGCGCCGGCGCCCCCCGCAATCCTGCGCAACAGACACTACGCCCGCACTTTAATTTTTCAAAAACCAGCAATTTCCACACATACATTGCACAATTGAAGACGGGGCGAAGTGCACGCGAGCGCGCTGTCGCGCGCGCGCCGAAACCGTAGAGAACAAACTAAGAAGGTTTCGTGGGGATTTCAAAATCGAAAGGCGCGATCAAATATAGAACGCACGGTTTTGCAACGAGAATTTTTTGGGGGGAATGCGCCCGCGCTGTTGCGAATTCGGAATGTAACACACATATTCTCATACGCACCTCTCCGAGGGAGTAGGGCTCAGAAGGGATTAGTGCGTCCGTGCGTGCGTCCGTCTTTGATTGTTCTGGCCGTTTCGCTCGGGACATCCTCGAAATTCTGAAAATCGGTGGCACCCCTCACGCAGATCGTGAAGGAGAGGTCCAAAAACACATGGGAATTTCAACATTTTAACATAACACCTTCAAAAACACATGGTTATTTTGAATAATTTTGACCCCGATTCTCAGAGAATGGCGGTTTCGCCTGAGACATCTTCCCAAAATCGAGCCCCAGACCCCTCCTCGGAGCCTCCTGGGGGCCTCCTGGAACCTCCTGGGGCCTCCTGGGGCTTTCTGGACCTTCTGGTACCCCAGACCCCGCCTCGGAGCCTCCTGGAGTTCTCCTGGGCCTGCTGAGGCCGCCTGGGGCCTCCTGGGGCCTCCTGGGGCTTCAGAACTACATGCACACACAGAGACACAAATCACGCCCAACACATCACACGCTAGACAAACATAACATACACACACACACAACACCGACAACACACAAAAAACACGCACCACACAAAGCACACATCACACACACAACACTCACAATCCTGGGGCCTCCTGGAGCCTCTTCTGGTATCCAAGTCGGGCCTCCTGAGGCTTCCTGGGGGGCCCTGGTACACACATCGCAAGGTGTGGCAACCCAACTTGCGCTCGAGTGCGACTTCGCTGTTGCATGTCACTCCTGCTTCAAACGCCCCTTCAGCTTGTTGTATGAGCCTGGGCACACACGTGCCACTTGTTGTATATATATATATATATAGATATGTATGTATATACGTATCGCGTTGAAATCGTCCGAACGCCCTCCGCGCGCGCGCTGTCGCAAGAACCCCTCGCAACACATGGGGCTAAGTGCGCGCGCGCGTCGTCGCGAGCACGTGCCGAAACCAATCAAAAACCTACGGTTTCGTACCGATTTCACAATCGAGCGCCCCGAAAGCACAAGAACATGCGGTTTTGCAGCGTCATTTTTTTGAAAATATCCAGCGCTCGCGCATTCGCGGGTTCCGAAGAAAACCGCTGGTTTTACAAAAGGTGCATCAAATTGTGCCGAACGGGCCTCTCGCGCCGCGCGTCGGTCTCATTCGAGCGCCCTTGCGCGCGTGCTGGGGGGTGGTGGTGTGGGGGGGGGGGGCGACCGGTGTCGCGTACTGCCGCGCGGGCCAATCGCGCGCGTCGGCCGCGCGCGCATGTCGAACTCCTTCAAAAACTTCACCGCCGATGCGAGCACGTCGTCATCGTTGTCGGTGGGCGTGATCACCATCGGCGCCGTCATTGGCCTTGCCGTCGTCATCGCAGCCGTCCTCACCATCGCTACTCCCATAATCGTATCCACCGTTGTCGGCGTCGCCGACTCGCACTGGAAGTGCCCGCTGGAAGCGCTCAGCGGTCAGCGCCACCGTCGCGCCAAACCAGCTGGCCGCTGCGTGCGCGAGCACGCGCGGGCTAGCGCGGCCGCAGAGATGCACCCGCCAAAGCCAAGCACTCATCGCACACGTCGCGATATTGCAGCAATCATCGCGCACCCGCCAACCCTTGCAACTAATACACAGCGGGCCACACACGCGCGTCCCCGCGCCCGCATGTCGGCAACGTTGCCAAACTGTTGGTGTCCTGGGCATGCCAGACTGGAAGTGTTCAGAACCGGCGCGGAAACGACCAATCGTGTCAACAACACTAACACATGTGCAAGGGTATCTGCGCGCAGGCACATCCTCACATCCTCATGCGCACCGCCGTCATCATCACCATCATCAGCATCACCATCACCATCATCATCATCGTTGTTGTGACCGCCCTCGCCATCACCGCCATCATCACCATCATCATCTCCGTCGTCAATGTCGCCGTCACATTTACCACACAACAGCCCGAGCCATGAATCTGCATGAGAAGAAACCTCGCGTCACTGCGCCAATTTATATCTACCAGAATTACGACCATGTAGGTAGGATGCTTACTCGAGCATTGAAACTGGCACGGGCAAGTGATCCGCGTGAATTGGGACATGCTCGCCAGCGTTGACCGTCGATGTGCACTGAATTTGTTGCGAGCTATGTCATATGTTCGGCGCGTGGTTCAACATATGTGCGTTGCAGGCTATATGATGCAGCCTAAGTGGAGCCATTCAATTGGTGCAGGCTGTGTGATGCGAGTATAGCGATGTTTGTTTTTTTCGACAAAAAACTGTATGATGCAAGCGATGTGATGTAATTGCTCTCTGCTGTGCAAGCTACGCGTTCCAAGCTCTGTGATGCAGCCTGGGCGTGGTGCGACCTGTGCGGTGGAAACTGTGCGTTGCAAGCAGTGTGGTGCCAGCTAGGTGGTGCAAGCTATTCGATGCCATCTCTTTGGTGCCAGCTGAGTGATGCGAGCTATTTGCCCAGACCCCCGACATAATGATTTTGTCATTACGTCGACCCCCAGAGGTCCCGACCCTTTCCCCAGGACCGGTTTTGCATCCTGAGTCGTTTTTTGACGCTCCCGAGGCCCGGTGAGGGCCCCCGAAGGCCCGAAAACTAGAAAAAAAAAAAACGCCATGCTTTTTTTTTCACTGCTCGAGGGGGTCTGGGTGGTTGCTGCGCCCACCGCTCACGGCGCCCACTATTGGGAAGCTGGCGATTTTCACTGTTCAAATGTGTCGGGCCGCTTTTGCTTCACTGGTGGCGCGCTGGCGCGCCGGCCTTCTTCAAACTTTGTGGACTCGCTTTGGGCCAGCATTCAAGCCCACAACTGGCCCAGAGCCGGCAGAGGTTTGTGGCCCACCAGGAGGGGCGCGCTGTCCTCTTGAGAGTCGCCCCGCTAGAATCCCCCTGTAGGAGGACAGGCCCGACCTAATACGAGTCCTGGGGGGAAACAAAAAAAAAAAAACACGGCGCCCACGAGCACACCGAGCAGTCACCAAAAGCGAGGCCCCGGCACAGCCCTCCAGCGCACGGGGCGCCCACGGGGCGGCCCCACGAGGCGGGGCACCAGGCGAAACACCGCCACGCCCGTCCTACTACTCTTAGGTCGGGCCTGTCCGCTGGCCATCGCTCGGACGTCCATTCCCTGTGTTTTTTTGTCGGTTTCGTGCGTGGTTATTTTCGCCACATGATCAAGGATGCTCCTCGATGGTCCTCGCCGAAGAAGAAATACACACGTCCGAGCGATGCCAAGTCCGCCTACAGAGGGATTTGGGACGAAACATGTAAAAAAAAACCCAAACATGCTCCAAAGATGCCCAACCATACTCACAACATAGTCCCCAGACTATTGTTGGACTATTGTTGAAGATTCCCCTCGTAGAGGGACAGGCACGACTTGATACTACTCAGTAAGAGCCGTGAGAAAGCCATGGGTGCAAACACTGCTTCGGGAACGTAGATTGCACCGTAACCGCTGCACCGCGCCACTTGCACCAGAAACATGCTGCACCACACAGAACGCACATCGAGGGTGCAAGAGATTCTACTGTCTGGGGCCCACGCCGACAAGCACTGCTTCGGTCGGTCGCCCCGCTTGGCTTCGGTGACTCGGGTGAAAGCTTTTCACCAATCGGTGACACCAGCAATCAGACTAAGCTCGAAGGAATCGGCTTCGGATTCGGAGTGCGATGCAGGTCGCATCTATGACCAAACGAAACACACCCACACACCAAACGGAACTCACCAAACGAAACACACCATCCACGGCCATAGTACGCATGCGTGGCTTGCCAGCCTGACAGGCTAACACCCAACACCCTGCAGTGTAAGGACTCATGGGGATATCGGGACATACCGCGACTGAAAACGCTTGAACACAGTTGGAAGCCGAAAAGAATACAATCGCGCACCCTTCAGGAGAGCACGTGCCCACATCGGGGGCCCATGCGCCTTTGAAGCGCACCATGATGAGCAGGATGCCAGACGAAGCGAACTCATACAGGCAAGTCAACCATACACGCCCTTCCGCCAGCACGTCCGTCCCCAGACTCCTCCTCCCCGCCTGCTCTCAGGGGTCTGCCCTCAACTTTGGCCCTTCCCGGGCGAAAGAAAAGTTGTACGCGCACCACCACGCAGGGCTCCTGCTCCTCTTCCGCCTCCTCCCACTGCTGCCCCCCTGAGATCCGACGTTGCGAAAAAACTGCAGCATCGCGGAAAATCACGACCAGGGCCCTAGACATATCGATGTGTGATGGTCCTGGGGCCAGAAGCCGCGCGAAAACGCCCAGTGTAAACAAAAAGCTCAGCGCCCAGATCTCAAGGGCATCGCTGCTACCTCCCCAGGGCGGCCCCAGGCACCATAGCGGGCGCTGCCAACCCTACGGGGACGTTCGGTAAGGAGAGGCGGCAGTAGAGGAAGAAACATCAACTGCATAAGCATAACCTTTCGGAGATTCACGCGGATGTCTTGGACTGGTGCCGGGTCCCCTTCCCTGGCGCGGGCAGCGCGCCAGGGGCGGCGCCGGAGGCGCCGCCAAGGGGTCCAGCGCCGATCCAAGAAGGTCGCGTTGACCTCCGACTTGCCATCGCTCGGAGGAGGAGGAGAAGGAGGAGGAGGGAGAGGAGAAGGAGGAGGAGGAGGAGGAGGAGGAGGAGGAGGAGGAGAAGGAAGGAAGTCAATTTCCCGTGCAGTTTTCGGTTTCGCGCGTGTCTTTCTGTTCCAAGATGGCTCTACTTTTCTGGCGCCGGCCCCGCCGAACTTAAAGAGGCACCCGTCCGAGCGATGCCAGGCCGAAATTTGATGTAGGGCAACGATCGTCGCGCTCCGCGCTCCGCGAAGCGCGATCCTCGTCGCGCTTTCGCGCCGACCCCCCTCCCCCCCGAACAGGATCAGGGGCCCACGCCTCGCCATCGCATCGCCCAGACTGCGAAGCGCGACTCACTTCGCTCCCTCGTGGTGGACCTTGGGGGGGGGGGGGGGGGGGCGATGGGGTGCGCGCCCCCAGGAGGAGGATTGAGAGGAGGAGGAGGAGGAGGAGGAGGAGAAGGAGGAGAAGGCGTAGGAGGAGACGGAGGAGAGGAAGACGGAGGAGGAGGCGGAGGAGGAAACGGAGGAGGAGAAGGAGACGGAGGAGGAGGAGGAGAAGAAGGAGGAGAAGGAGGAGAAGTGAGAGGAGGACGAGGAGCAGGAGGAGGAGGAGGAGGAGGAGGAGGAGGAGGAGGAGGAGAAGGAGGAGGAGGCGGAGGAGGACGATAAGGTAGACGAGGAGGAAATTATGTTTATGCATTTTTGTTCTTCCTCGAGACAGGGCGGGCCAAACAGGCCCCGCGTGGCGCGCCGGGGGCCGCCGCAGGCGGGGCAGCGGAGGGACAGCGGAGGGCACGCGGGGGCGACGACGGGAGACGACGACGACGACAACGGCGGCGGCAATGACGATGACGACGACGGCTGCGGCGGCGGCAAAGACGACGACGACGACGGCGGCGGCGACGACGGCGGCAACGACGACGACGACGATGCCGGTCGACGAGGGTGACGACGAGGAGGACGGTCGACGAGGTCGACGAGGGCGACGACGACCCTCGACGGCGACGATGGCGACAGGGCCGACTCAGACGCGCGATGAGATATCTTGGGGCGTATCATGACACACTGGTACTGTGTCCTCCTCGGAGCCCAGATCCCCTCGAGTCATGGCAACAATCACGACGGTGCGATTTTTATAATTTTCGGCCTCTGAGGGCCCTTACCGGGCGGGCCTCTGGAGGGTCAAGAACTGCACAGGATGAGAAAACCTGGTCCCGGGGAACGGTTCGAGACCACTGGGGGTCGACGTTATGAAACAAAAAAACGTGACGTCGGGGGTCTGGGTATGTGTCCTCCACGGAGGCGTCCGTCCGACCCCAACATCTAGCACAACCATCTTGTAGTTTAAGAATAGGTCGGGCATGTCCCCCCACAGGCGGACTTCGGAGGAAAAATGACAAATGGTCACTAAATGCTCTGGAATAATTCAAATCATCGGAACATCGTCCCAGTATCATTTTTTGACCACATTTGAATATTCTTCCTGTAGAGGGACATGCCCGACCTAGTTGTAGTTAAATGTCGTTCCCCGAACGCTGCGGCAAGAACGCGCCGGCCACAGAGCCTACAATACTGTAAGCTTTCTCTTGGCGCTCGCGCGTGGCCCCCCTAGGGGCGACGCACACGTAGTATAAGGTCGGGCATGTTCCCCTACCGGCGGATTTTGGAGGAAAAAGGAAACGTACCCCAAAGATGCCAAAAAATAGTGGCAGCATCGTGTCAAGACTATTTTTCTGCATGTTTTGAGTATTCCTGCTGCAGAAGGACAGGCCCGACTTAAACATAGTATTGGTATGTTTTGGTGGCACCTTTTTCAATCTGCGTTCCCGGAAGTCCCGACCCGTTCCCCGGGGCCGGCTCTCTACTCCAAGCGGCCCCAAGACCGCCCCCACACGACTCGAGACGGCCACGGAGCCTCCCACGCCTCCCTCGCTGTTTGACTATGCGTGCCTCTTCCTCTCTCTCCCCCCGTCAACTCTCATGGGCATCGTTTCTGGGCTGGTGGGGATACTTTTTTAGTCAGCGGCCGCGGGCGAGCGCGCCGGCGGCGAGTCAGGTCAAAGCGGGATACGCAGAGACTAATTAGGCAGAGGAAACGCGAGAAAGTTAAAGCAGAGGCGACGCGCGAGGCAACAGCTACGCGCCGGCCGAGGCCTCATGCAGCGGGCTGGTGGGGATGCGCGAGGCGTCAAACATGTGTATGTTGTGGTGGCACCTTTTCAATCTGCGTTCCCCCGAAGCCCCGACCCTTTCCCCGGGGCCGGCTC